TGAAGTCTTTCAGTTTTGCCTTCTTCCTATCTCTCGTCAGGATTACTGTGACAGCCTTGTTCTCCCTGTCTCAACTCCCTATCCTCTCCTGCCATCATTCCTTCACTGAAATTGGGGTTCGTCTGCTTTCAACACATTTCCATCATCTTTTCATTCACTCTCAGGATGAAATTCCAAATGTCTGATGTGGTGTGAAGATTAACTTTCATTGTCAACATGACACAAGATGGAATCATCTGGAAAAGAGAGTCTCACCGAAGGACTGTCCATATCGGACTGGCCTGTGGCCAGTCTATAAGGAATTGTTTTAATTAAGTCAACTGATGTGGGAAGACTCAGCTCACTGTGAGCGGCACTATTCCTTAGGCCTTAGGGGGGTCTAAACCATGTAAGAGTGGAGAAACTGAGCCGAGCATATGCAGACCAGCAAGTGAGCATGTGTGGTTCATTTCTCTCTGTTCTTGATTGAGGATGTGATGTGAAAAGCTGTTTAAAGTTCATGTTGCCTTGCCATCATCCCGTTTGGGGCTGTAGCCTGGACCTTTTCTCCCCTTGCTTTTTAGCAGTGTATTTCACCATGGCATCAGAAATGAAACTGGAACACACGATATTTGAGGTACTTCATCCACTTGCTTCTTTTATTTCTCTAATTTCATTTCCTGTCTCACTGGTTCCAGTCAGAGAAAGCTACTTGTCCTGTCCAGAGTTGCCACCCTCTTCCTCACCATCATGCTTCTGTTAATATAACCTGGAATACCTTTTCCTCAGCTCTCGGCATAGACAATTCCTACTCTACCATATTTCTAGTTCCTAGAATACTACTCCTGATAGTGTTTTTAAAAAGTCTTAAAGGAGGTCAGGCATGGTGGCGAGTGTCTTTAATCCTAGCCCTCAGGAGGCAGAGACAGATAGAGATCAAGGCCAGCCTGGTCTACATAGTGACTTCCAGATGGGCTGGGACTAGGAAGACCCTGTCAAAAAAAAAAAAAAAAGCCTAAAAGGGGGCTGTAGAGATGGCTTTGTGGTTAAGAACGCTTGCCGCTTTGCCAGAGGACCCAGGTTCAGTTCCCAGCGCTCAGATGTGAAACTCCAGCCCTAGAAGATCTGACACTTTCTTCTGGCCTCTGCAAGCATGAATACATGTGACTGACATATATACATACATACATGCATACATAAATACATACACACACAAATAATAAAAAATAAATCTTTTTTAAAAGTCTACAAGATTACATGTCTGTAATCTCAGCACTCAGGGGGCTGAAGCAAAGGATCATTGCAAGTTTGAGGCCAGACTGATCTACACAGCAAGTTCCAGACCAGCCAGGGCTACACAGTGAGATCCCATCTCAACAAACTGACAGATAATTTAAATAGACGCCAGAATTTGTATTTGAGTACTGTTTGCTCAAAATACACTAAAATTATTTTGTGTCTTTTTCTGAGACCCTACATAGATTTTTGGTTTAGTTATTTAATTTTCCATTGACTAGATTAGATGGAGGAATGGAATATGAATTTGAATATATATTCTCCCAAGATGTTATAAGAAATCTAAATGGTGAAGGAATTAGAAAACTCACAAGACATTGTAAAAGGGCAAAAGATATTTAGCCTTAAAGTTATGTTAACCCTCTTCCTCCTCATCATCTTTCTCCCTTTCTCTCTCCACCAGCTCTCAACATTTTCTTAAGTTAACAATCACTGTTTTCTTTTTAAATTACCCTGGTTTCAAATTTTGTTGCTCCAAGTGTCTGCCTCCCTGAAGTTCTTGTATAGACGAGTTTCCCTTTCTAAGGATGCTGCTTAGTTCCTTTGGGAGAGCCCGAGGGAGGCAGTTCTTCCAGCCCTGTCTCCTTCCACTCCCCTCTTTCCCTCCTTCCTGGCTGGAGCAGAAAGTCTGTCAATCCCAGGCAAGAGACAAGGCAGACAAAGGTTCATTTGTAAAGAACCTCCTTCCAGTCCCTCCTCTCTTCTCTTTTCCCCAAACTACCCAGTGAGTTGGAGCATTTAAGAAGATTCTTTTGCCAATAAGATCAAAACGAAAGAAAAAGGTATGTAATTTTTTTCTCGATAAAAACATTTTATGTCTTTTATTCTTCTCCAAACTGCTGCTATAGATTAGAGCAGAAAGTACATGTGTGTGCTGAGTAGATGAGAAAGACATAGGGACAGAGAAAGCCTCTAAGGAAATGGTGCATGCAGTTTGAAAAAGCTGGTTCCTGAGATACAGCAAAGTCTGATCAAAAGAGAGTAGAAAATGTATATGCTTGACTGAGAAAGTCATTTGACCATATGTTCAAGAAGAGACAAGTTTCTCAGTCTTTCATGTAATATACAGATTCACTCTGAATTCAGTCCCCCCTGCCCCTCAGAATGATGTAGGGGTGTAAAGTGTCTAATATTGGAGTGTCTAGAATCGCTCTATCAAACCTACATGAAATGAACTGCAATGTCAAAGAAAGCAAACAGTTTTGCTTTCAGAAACACTGATTCCTGAAAAGAAACTGCAAATTCAGGACACAAAGAGGGATTCATTGACTTCATCCTGGGTGTTCTCACCATGGAACGGCACAGGGCCTGTGCTGCTAAGATAAAGGCAATGCTTTCTCCCTTGGGGGCTTAGAAAAATTGCTTTAAAATTTTTCTTAACTTAGCTACTTAGGCTATGGAAAGCCCTTCCCAATTTTGGTCCTTTTCTCCTCTGATGACTTCTAACAATTAAAATGATGCTAGATTGGGTATTAGAATCGTCTTAGCATGTTCTGAGAAGCCTGAAGGCAGATATCCTTCAGTGAGTAGACAGATTGTTTTCTCCAAAGGTGAAGGTATCTTAAGGATTTAGGCTGCTATGTGTATTATCGTAACTTTTGAAAGGCTTATCCATTTTCTAATACCATTTCTGTTCCTTCACAAATGCTTTGAGAAATGAAGTGATCAGGACTTGACCAGTCTAGTTAAAAAATAACAGTGATTTTTTTTTCACTGTCCAAGAGAGTTGATGAATGGGAAACAGCACATCTGGGGCTGCAGTTTTAATCTCTCCCAATTATAATTTTAATATTTCAAGCATCAGGTTTGGGACTGGAGTTTTCACTTCATTTTGCATGGTTGCTTCTTTCTTGCCGCTTTTGAGAGACATCTGAAGAGGAACCGCCCCTTCTGCCTGATTCCTCAACTCTGTTTTCTTCCACTGCTCTGAATAGCAGTTCCCAGAACTGACATCAGCTGCCTGGACGAGCACTGCACATAAACGTCTTAATACTTAAACTGCATCGCCCTGTTAGTTTTGGCCATTAAATAGTTTAGTTTTTTGTTTTTTTTTTTCTTTTTAAGTCTCCATTTGACTCCAGCCATTCGAAAGCTTGCCAAATACTCTCACAGAACTAAAGTTGGCAACTCCCTACCAAACGACATTGGCAATGATTTACTGCTTACTTGGAAATGCCTTCTTTGTAATTCTGTATCCTTTGCAGTGACTTTTTTTCCTCAAAGCAGTACACCTATACTGGGATATGAGCGGTATCATCAACATTAGAAGAACATCAACATTGCTAAATTGAATTTTTAAAAATCCAGTGCATAACCAGTGAAGGTTCTCATAGTCCTTAGAACTTCAGTTTTTCACTTTATTTTCTTTTGCAATTGAATGTACTTCACGAGAAATCTTAAGTGCATACACTTTAACTAAAATAGAAAGTAAATGGAGCAATCTGTTTCAAAATGACCAATGTCATTTCACTCTGGTTGGCATTCGAAAATGTAAAGTTTTGATGAATTGCCAAGGATTAAGATCGGTGTTTTTGGTGGGGAAAAAAATGACAAATATACCCAGAGAATATATTGGCTCTGACTTTTTTTTTCCATTTGCGAAGTAGGAGTTAAAGTTATTTATCTGAACCTAAGTAGACAAGAAGAGAAGGTTTCAGTTACAATATGTAATTTATAAAGTGTTAAAAAGAAAAAAAAAAAACTACCATAGTTGCTTGCCAGGTGTGGAACTTTCCATCTTTGTAGACCAAGCCTGGGGCAGAAACACCACTTTGTGCTCTGACCTGGGTGTGAGGTGCATGCTGTGGCAACATACCTGATTTTCCAGCTATTTATTTTCTCATTCCTTAAGTGAATATTTTCACATTTTTACCCTAAGCTTAGCATTGAAACAGGGTCCCTGAGTGCTTAAAAAACTTAAAGGTAGAATTCTTGTCTTCATACTGGCTTCTCCTCTTCCAGTTCTCAGAATATCAGACCACCCAGGCCTCCCTTTCTTTTTCCTCTTCTTGCTCTACAGTCTTTCTCTGTCAGGCCCATGCCTGTAACTACTATCCCAATTATCCTCACATCTGTAGTTCCAGCCCTGACGTTTAATCTTACATTCAACTCCTGAGCTACTTAATATCTTTATTTAGATGTCAAACGGCTGCCTCAAATTTAATTATCCCCCAAATCTTACTCTTGAAGGTTTATAAAATTGGTTTCTTCCACTTTTGCAGAGGCCAGAAGAAGGTATCAGATCCCCTGAAACTGGAGTTACACGCAGTTGTGAGCCTCCATGTGGGTACTGGGAACTTAATTCCATCCTCCGTAAGAGCAATACATGCCCTTAACTGCTGAACCATCTTCACCCCTAAAAAGTGTACTTTTGCTATATTTTTTAAAGGGAAATCAGTTATATGGCTCTAATAAGAACAATCTAATGGTAAGAAAGCTTAAACAGCCAAAAGCCATGAAATGAACCCAGGAACAAATTAAAAGCATATATAGGTAAGACAAGAAGACCAGAAAAAGCCAGAGAGAGAGAGAGAGAGAGAGAGAGAGAGAGAGAGAGAGAGAAAGACATAGACACAGACAGAGAGACAGAGACAGAGACAGGAGAGACAGACAGAAAGAGAGACAGACAGAGACAGAAAATAAAGAAACTTTTCAAAATGGTCCATACCTTTAATCCCAGCACTTGGTAGACTGAAGCGGGAAGATCTCTGTGTGTTCCAGGTCAGCCTGGTCTATATAGCAGGTTCCAGACTAGCTAGGGCTACTTGGTGAGATGCTGTCTCAAAAAAAAAGGGGTGTAAGTAAGAGCGTAATTGGATAAATATATGACCTTATTTGGAAAAACCACTTTCGGGGATCCGAAGCTCTCTTGACACAGGTGCATTTAACATACAAGCAGGCTCGCTGTGATGATTGATTCCAAAACCATTCATGGTTTCCACCAGAACTTTTGTGTTGGCCAGTTCCTTCCTTGAAGGAACTGTTGTTTCCGTCTGAGCAGAAAACAACAATTTATTGGAAAAAAAAAAAAAAAAAAAAAACTACACAGCTCAGAGAAAACTAAGCTGTAACTGAGAGCTTGGCTACATAGTAAACACTTAGGAAGCTCAAAGCTATAAAAGATATGATAAATGCCAAAGACCTTTAAAAATAGGAAAATCCTTCAAATACATTAGTTGAAAAGGTTAAAAAGAGTTTATATATCTTCTCTATCCACCCCCACCCTGCCCAACCTTTTGATAGAGAGGAGCCTAGTTAGAGACATTAAAGGCCGATAGTTGTTACTTCTGATAAATATACACACATACATACAAACATATTTTAAAATTTTTCTCACATTTATTTATTTTGTGTATGTTACAGGGAGAAGGTGTGTGTGTATAAAAAATAGTTCTTTACAATGAGTTCTTGAGTGTAGCAATATGTGAAACTTCCTTGCTTGACTTTAAGCATTTACAGGTTAGGGTATATTGTTTATTCATTCACTAAAATGGTTTAAGTGCTGTGATGCATTTTGAACAAAATCTTCTTGGAACTTTCATTCAGATTGGAGGAGACAATAAGAAAATTGTCTAATAATTAGAAGGTTGTAACAGCCATAGAAAAATTAATTAAGGTAGTTTCAGAAAGCCAAAGGGAGATTTTATTCTAAACAAGGTAGTAGAGTAGATCTTAGTGAAGAGGTGACATGTGTATAAGCACTGGACAGGATGGGGACTTGGGCATTGTATTAATCAGTGTTCTCTGGAATAACAAAACTGAAAAAAAAATAATAGATATTGCAAAGGGGATTTATTAGATTGGCTTACATAAATTGGACTGGGTAGCCCCAAAATGACTGGCTGTACACAAGAGTCCAGGAAGCTGTATGCTCAGCAGTCCCAATGTGGTAATGAAGGCCTGGAGGCTTCCTGGAGAGCCACAGATCTTCACTTCATACTAGAAGGCCAAAGAAGCTAGGTTCCAATGTCAGTGAAGGATGGCTGCAGCAATGGCAGCAACAGGGTAGATGCACTCACCAGCAAGGAGTGAAGGTGAACAGGAAAAAGCAGTAGCTTTTCCCTTGGAGTTCCTTATATCTGGGCTGCCCCTGGAAGATGCTGCCCACTCTAGGGAAGGGCCTTCCTCCTTCAGTTAATCCTTCCAGGAAATATTTTTACAGACTCACCCTGGAGGCATATCTCTTAGTTGATCCTAAACCCAACCAAGTTGATTAAACATCACAGACATACAGACATCTGGAAGCATCACTTTCCTAGCCGAGGAAATAACCAGCACAAATGCTCCAAGGCAACAGTACATCTGGCCCTGAGGAATTCCTGGAACAGAATAAACAAGGGGAAGAGTAGATTATTTCTGAGAGACAATGGGGAACCAATTTGTCCATGGAGGCCATCACAAAGACTTTAGCTCTTACTCCAAGAACTTGGAATTACTGGTAAAGGCTACTTTTATTTTTCTGAGTTCATTTGGTGTTCTTGATTCTTAGGGAAAAAAGGAAACACTAAAAACTATCTGTTTAGTTGAACAAGATAAACTAGCTTCCTTCTCTTTTCCTTTCTCTGACATAATTATTGAAGTACTGTATGAATGAGGCCCATAGTAGTCTATTCCCAGACTTCCTCACAGTCCCAGTATTGGCTGTTCGTCCTGTGAAGACTCTTGCCAGCTTGTCCTTAATCCATATCACAATATAAGATGGGAAGCTAAACCACTTGACAAAACATGTGAAGATCGGCCTTTAAAGATAAGAGAACAATTTCAGGTTATATTGCAGCAGCTT